TAAAATTTTAGCAATAATCTTATAGACCACAGTACAAAGACTTATGGGTCTATGGTCAGCCACCTGAATAGAGTTCTTCTTCTTAGGTATTAAAGTTACTACAGTATGATTAATATTCCTTGGCATTTTACCATGGTTAAAGAAATTTTGAACAGCTAGGCATAGTTTATCCTTAATAATATCCCATGAATTTTGAAAAAACCCAGGTGTCATCCCATCAAATCCAGGGGCTTTATTAGGATCCATATCCATCAAAGCAGATTTAATTTCAGCCACAGTAACCTCTCTAGTGAGCTCTTTATTCATATCAGCCGAAATAGAAGTTGGAATGCCACTCATGTCACAGTTATCAACCAGGGGATTAGAAGTTTTGAACAGGGACTGAAAATAGAACATCAGCTCTTCCACAGTTTCCTGGGAATTTCTACAAACAGACCCATCCCTCTTAACTAGGTTCTGCAAGCTATTTAATTTCCTTCTCTGATTGACACTGGCTTGGAAGAACTTAGTGTTTTTATCCCCAGATTGCAGCCAATTAATTCTGGATTTCTGTCTCCAGAACACTTCCTCTTGCTGATAAGCTTCACACAACTGGTTTTTAAAAAAATGCCACTCATCCCACTTTTTGTCCCCTCCCTCAGCCTCCAACATTGCAAGCCTATCCTTACAAGTGTTAATGAGTTTAGCAGAATTGAGACCCTGTTTGTTTTTCCAAGAACAGATAGCTGATTTAACATTCCTAATCCTGTTCATGATGCTGAACAAGTCAGGACCCCCAACTTGTATATCCCATGCCTTCTCAACAATCTCTGAAAACCCTTTTAACCCATTCCATCTAGAGTCAAAGAAAAACTTCCTCTTGTGGGGTTCCCTGGTACAATCAAACTCCAAAACAAGCATATTGTGGTCAGAGGATGCCATAGAAACATTCAAAACTCTGGAATTAGGATTACTAAGCAGCCACTCAGCTGAGACTAAAAATCTATCTAACTTGACTTCAATAAACTCAGCCCCTTTCCTATTATTTACCCAGGTGAATGCATGACCTTTCACTAGAGGTTCAACCCCTCCCAAATTTCTAACAAATTCTTTGAAATCCCTAAAACTGCACTCCTCTCTTCTATTACCTCCCCTTTTCTCATGATTGCCCAGAATATCATTCATGTCCCCACCCATAAACCAAGACGCACCCCATCTGAGGCTGTGTCTCAACAGAGATTGCCATTGAGATCTCCTCACACTAGGGTTAGGATCAGCATACACAAAAATACCCCACTGGCTATCCCTACAATTATCTAACTTGAACTTCACCTCAAACCCAAAAGAGTGACTATTTAACTCTAGAATATCAACCCTATGAGACCAACAAAGGAACAGACCTCCACTAGTACCCACAGGTTTGGAGTAGATCCACCTATTATCCAATTTAAGCTTTTTACAAACAGTTTCAATAAATTTTTCTTTTTTTTTTGATTCTGAAAGAAATGCAAAAACTGGGGAGTGAACCCTGAGGGCCTCTTTAAACTGGGAAATTGTAGAGGGTCCCCCCAAACCTCTACAATTCCACACACATACTTTGATTGTAAACTGTGGGACCAGTTAGGGCTGGTTTCCTCCACCACATTCAAGATATTATTATCAGACAGTTTCACTTTCTTTCCTAATTTCTCAGTAGCAATTTGAATCTGTTCATTTTCTGCTCCAAAAGTTAATGGCCTTTTTGAGTTTTTATTAAAAGTGGTCACTACAGTCTGTTCTGGATCAATAGCCATTTTTTCAGATTTTTCCCCTTTAACAAATCTAGGTTTCCTCTTGAAACTCCTCTGATTCCCTGGCTTCACCTTAATCTCTGTAGAGATAGGTTGCACAGTCACCTCAACAAGCTGTGAGGGATTAAAATTAGCCTCTTCAGGGATGGTTTCAAGTGATTCATTACTATTTTGCACATGTTCAAGGTCATGGTTAGACCCACAAACATCATTAGAACTACCTGCTTGACCCTCTTGAGGGGCTCTGTTATCTGGAATTTTATGCACAACCAGTTGGCTCTCTATGCTTTTTTCGTTACCTCCAATTACCCCCAAGTGCTCTGAGTTAATATTTTCAGTGTTTTTTTCAGCAGATCTACTTCCTGTGGTGTGGGTACTGTGGGATTTAGAGAATCCAAAGTTAAGAGGACTAACCCTAAGCCACTCTCCATATTGACCTAAGTTAAGAACGTTTTTTTTGACATCCTCTTTCTTGGTATAGCAATTTCTATCACTATGACCAATTTTACCACAATAAAAGCATAGGTGTTGGAGAGATTCATACCTGAAGTCAATCCATTTAACATCATTACCCAGTTTGATCTTGCTTCCCCTCATGAGTGGATTACTCAGTTGCATTTCCACAAGAACTTTCATTATTTGACCATGATTACTTCCTGGACTTGGTAATTGAACATCCAGTGGGCGCCCTATCAATTTTCCTACCTTCAATCCTGTTACAGCTCCTATCCAGTGCAACGGCAGGTTATGAATCTGCACCCAAATCTTTATATATTCCTCCTCTGGTAAGAAGCTTCTACCATCCGGAGACCAGTTTTTCAGGAGGAGGTATTGGCCATCAAAACTCCATGTTTTGCCGTGTAGGATTCTGTCCCTATCTTCCTCATTCTGGAATAGAAACTGAAACGAAATGTCTCCGAGACTTTTGATAGAGAACGGCTCCTTGGTGGTCCAGATCGATCCCAGAGTAGCTTTGAGGCCACTGAAGTTGGCCTTTTTCTCACCAAAAATCTTACCCAACAAGCTTAGCTGACATTCTTCCACTCCAATAGCAACATCAGGGTCAACTAACTCCACACCTTCTTCCTCTTTCTCTATTAAGGCAAATTTCTTCAGCTTATTCACTATATCCTGATCCATGCTGCAAAAGAATTTGAGCCGCACTACCCCACAACCCTCGGACTAAGAGCAACCCACTACACCAGAACCCTCAAACACAGATCTGAGTAGGCACCTCCATCTGCATAAATCTCTTTAATGACATAAGGCTAATAATACATACTTTAAATGACAATCATTTGACAGGCATTACCCATAATAAACAGAGAAAAACCCTAAGTCCTATTGCACACAGAAACCCAAAACATAAACCCTAGAACATAATTAGGAGGAGAAGCACACAAAAAGAACAATTGAAAGACGCAAAGGAAATACAGGTT